CACACACACACACACAAAACATGGAACACATGGAAATGGGTTTTGTTTTGTTTCTGATTGAGATAAGGGCATTTAAACACAACACATATCTCATAAACATCTGCCAACTTATTGATGAATGGAGTGGAGATGCATAAACACAAGACAAACACACACCAAACAGGGGATTTTCTCTTAACCTGCACAGACTAGACTGTGACTGATTTATTACTGTTTACTGTACATGCACGTGAATGGTACAGCTCCACTGGAGGCTTCTTCAGAGGAGGCTTCAACTAGTGCCTACTCAAAAATTACTGTGCAACTACAGGAAGCTACTGAAAATGTATTTGCGAAAACTCCACCATATTTGCTGCATTTTGATGACGCTCTCAAGTAACGTATATGCATCTGTTACATTTTTTGACCGGGAATATTCTGTCAAATATATATAAAAAAAGACTCCAGTGGATCCATACCTTTTATTTAACTTGAGGTGATGCTACACCTAAAATCTAACTTTTGAGTATCAAATACATCAGCAAGCAGTAGTCACAGTGGAAAAAAGAAGTAGCATAAATAGTTTAACAGCAAGAGCGCTGATTAGCCAGCTGCTATGTGATTCTGACCAATCACAGCTCCTAGCTACTACCGCTTTGTAGGTACATTGATTTCTTAAGTGGCACACTGCTACCAACACATCTTTAAATTAAAGAGTTTTACAAGCTAACACAAAATGGGGAAACACATAAGTACATTTTAAATGTAATGCTGTGATTCCACTTTGAATTGCAATTACATATTCATCGTTTTAAGATGGAATAAGAACATTTGTAATTGGCTAATTTAATAATATTTATTGTTTTTACAGCCTAATTTTTAATTGATCAACTTATAATAACTTGCTTTGTTAAGGATGATCAAGTTATTATTTTTTATTTTCCATAATAACTTTAGTGACCTACTACATTGTTAAATACATTATTCTACTTACTTGTTCATACATATGCTCAGTATGTTCCAAAGACACTGTTGCCAACATATGGCTAAATAAACTGTCTTAAGACTGTAACCAGTAAACTACATTAGGAATTTAAACCAAATTGAATAAGCTGGAGGTGGGTTCCTCAGGTTAGCCAGTGAGCCACGATAGAGTAGTCTTAAGAAATTTATATGGATATTTATTCATTTTTGGAGAGAATGGTCATTATTGAAATACTTTGTAACCATCCAAACTGACTACAGCCACGACTACAGCCACTTTTGTCTTTGGAGGCTGAAACTGTAAAATTTCACAGCCACTTTTCAAGTGTACAGAAAGTTAGTGATACTCAGTAGATAGATTTTGGGTGGAGTCTTACTTTAACATACAACACATGCACACATACACACAACCAGTTACGAAAAATGCACTTTTCAGATGTTTATTTTTTGGAATGGTAAATTCTTACATATCAGCCTCTCTGTAAACTCTGTATATCCTCAGTAATACCAGAGAGTTTTAATGTGTGTAGAACCTGATTTAGTTCCTGACCTTCACCTCTTGGTACTGCAATTTTATGGAGCTAATGTAAATCGTTCCTTCAGAGTTGTTTTACACCATCTGTATCAGGGCATGTGCTTTGGCTTATCCGTGTTCATGAACAAAGTACGTCTGGTATGTTCCATGGACACACTGGTGGCTGCCTTTGACCTGGTAAAGCACACAAACCCGGAGGTGCAAAAAGACTTGCACGCCGCTGCTGCCATGACAAGCTAAAAGATGACACAACGTAAACTGTACAGCCACAGCCTAAATGCAAGTAGCTAGTAATATGATATGCCCGTGAAGCAATACAACCGGTGTCATTGACAGCAACAACCTGTCAAGGAAAGTTACAGTAAACCATACTTGATTTACTACTGTTTTATGTTCAACTACTTTTTACCACTGTGTTTCATGATGATCAGTTGACAAAAGCCTTTTTTTTATTTAACAGTTTACCTAATGCCTTATTTATTGTTGAGTTTTTGGACGTGTCTGGCAGATTTGCCAAATCAGTATATTCTTTTTTTTGTTTTTTTGTCCTTCTGTAGATGAGCAGAAGTTTACAACGAATGAGATACCCATCACTTTGATTAGACAAGCAGATTCACACATGTTGAGCTGATGCTCAGTGTAAAAAGA